GTGGGCTGCGAGCCCCCGAGTTGTGGGCTGCGAGCCCCCGAGTTGTGAGCTGCGAGCCCCCCAAGTTGTGGGCTGCGAGCCCCCGAGTTGTGAGCTGCAAACCCCCAAGTTGTGAGCTGCAAACCCCCGAATTGTGAGCTGCGAGCCCCCCGAGTTGTGGGCTGCGAGCCCCCGAGTTGTGAGCTGCAAACCCCTGAGTTGTGGGTTGCGAGCCCCCCCCGAGTTGTGAGCCGGGAGCCCCCGAGTTGTGGGATGCGAGCACCCAGAGCAGCATGTGAGGAAGCAGGCGAGAAGTAGTGCAGGCAGCGAGTTCCAGGCAGAGACCGGCATAGGGGAGGCAGTCCTGGAACTTACTTGGAGCAGCTAAGTGCCGATATGGAGTGGACTGGAAGCTTGGATCAGAGAGGGGTTGGTTGTTGGAGTAGGGTCTGGCACGGATGTTCAGACCACATGCATTTGCCCTGTGCTCAGCTGCTGCAATGTAATGCTTATTTTAAATTTTTAACCTGGCTGTAAAGTCAATCCTTCGATGATGTCTTATCTCTAAGTTATTTTTGAAACTCTGTAAAGTAATGCAACTGCTTTTTAGTTCTCTTTTGTATCCAAGATTTGGCTGTAGGTGGTTGTAACTAAGATGGCACCGTAAGAGGCAAACATTGTAAAAGCTTTTCACTGTACTTCTACAATGGAATACATGTGGCGATAAAGGATAAAGGATATTCTATTCTACTCATTCTATTCTATTCTACATTTCTGATGAAGGGTCTAGGCCCGAAACGTCAGTCTTCCTGCTCCTATGATGCTGCTTGGCCTGCTGTGTTCATCCAGCTCTACACGTTGTTATCTCTTCTATTCTACTCTAACTGGTGCTTGAAAATGTAAAAGTTCAGACATTGGATAAGGACAAAGCCAAATTTAGATCTCAGAGTCTGTTAAAATTCGGCGCTAGGGATCACACGTGAAGTATCAAAGAACTGGCAACATCTATGTAACTAGACACAAGATAAAATCTTCAGAAGAAAGAAGAAATCTAGTTTAAACAGGCATGTTTTTACTAAAGTACCTGAATGTGACAATATCCTCTTGCTCTCAGATCATCGGCAATGAAGGTTTTAAATGCTTTCAGTAATCCTGAATAATCACTGTTACAAGCTTTCCCAGAAGGCAACAGAAGTCGAAACCATCTCTGAGCCTGAACCACTTGAAATAGGTTGATTTCTGTGAGGTAAAACATAATTTTCATAAATTCTGCAATCTCCAATCACTTCACTAACCTGCATATTTTTCTCTTCTTACTGCAGAAGAACCCACAGGATAACACTGGGATATTGTATTTGATTCTTGTCATTGTCACTAGTGAACACTGCACCAAATGGCTCCATTTAAACACATTTTATTATTGTAGTCATAATTCCTACCAACGTGAAACATTTTAAGACATCTAGGCATGATGTCATCCAGTGAAATTTGATAAATTTAAAATCATGAATGTGGCAGTTCCTTTAAAGACAAATCTTACAAGTACAATAGCACTTGTGCAAGTGATTTTCTGGCTTGGGCACACTTGCAAGATGAAAATTGACACACACTCGAGAATTTTCTATATAGTCGCTTCATTCCACAGAACTTGAGTAGTGCTGAAATAAACAGGCTTGTAATTGAAGCTTTTCATCTTGCACTCATCAGGACAAATTTCAAATTTCAAAGGAACAAGTTATACTGCATGAAAAAGGGTTCTGATTGGGTGGACGCTGATTGATGTTTCCATGTGGTGAGATAGCCATAACTAGAAGATGTCCCAAGTACGATGCCCAAAGCTCTGCCTCAAGGATGCTGCAAACGTGACATGCAGTTCCTACATGTTAATTTCCACGCTCAAAAGCCATTAACCAATGACAGATGGAAATGGTAGGAGACACCAGCTTCAGCTGAGATTTGAGACTAAAGCAGAATCTGACCCCTCTAGTGGACTAAAAATGATCGTCTTTCACACTTTCACAAAGAGCTCGGGCATCCTTCATGTATTCATTCTCTTTATTCCAACATTGTTAAAGCAGATTATCTGATCTTAAGATAACACAGTGTGGAGCTGGAGGAACATGGCAGGCCAGGCAGCAGCAGAGGAGCAGGAAAGTTGATGTTTCAGGTTGGGACCCTTCTTCAGAAAGGGCTCTGAAGAAGGGTCCTGACCCAAAACGTCAGCTTTCCTGCTCCTCCGATGCTACCTGGCCTGTTGTGTTCCTCCAGCTCCACACTGTGTTATCTCTAACTCCAGCATCTGCAGTTCTTACTATCTCTTATCTAATCTTTATCACATTGCTGAAGCAGAGATGTTGCTATGTGCAACTTGGTTGTTTGATGTGTAATGCTTCAAAGACACTTAATTGGTTGTAACTGGTTTTGAGAAGTCCAGAATTCATGAAAGATACAATAGATTCACAAGTTTCATTTTCTCTTCTTTGGAGATAAGATGGACAATGTGGCTGCCAAGCAACAGCTATGGGTGTTTGTGTTCAAATCCTACTCATCTGCTATGTTGCCAACTGTCTTGAGTGCAGAGAAAAACATTTAGTCTCAAATTAGCTAGTCTTAGCTATCAGGATAAAAACAAACTTTAAACAGAAGCTAATTCAAAATGTTAATAGGACACAGTAATACTTCTGTTTAGGGGACAGGGACGGGGTGATTTTGGCCAATGGAGAACAGCAACTTTAAAAATTAGAAATATGATGATTGATGTTTAAAAGGTATTCCTTTTAAAAATTCATTTTGGAGATTAAAGAATGCATAATAAAAACACCTTCACAGAGGACTTTAAAGAGAGTTATTGGTAAGATAGGTTTTAAAATATTTAAAGTAATGACCATAAAATCCACCCTAGTATCAAACTTCTGTTTTAAACCAACTTACAGCGTGCAAATAGAAGAAGTTGCTTCTAGACAAAGAGACTGAGTTTGTTTGACCTTTCAAATTCTGGTAAGAGGGAAGCTGCTCCCAAAATTGTTAGCTTTGTCACAGAATCGTAGAATTAGGTGTAATTATATATAACTTTATATGTAACTTCATATTAGAACTGATATTACAAATATTATAACAATTGGTAGAAATTAACATCCTTTCTAATCTTCTATACCAGTGTTAGCGAGGAATATGAATTGCATGACAGAATTTGAAAAGTCATTAGTAATAGGCAAGTATGCAATGCAGCTGGCAAATGTCTAGGAAGGGACATAACAATTGGTGTTGGAATGTGATCAATAAGCTCTATGTAAGAACCCAAGGACAGGTGGTAGGGGATCTGGCAAACATCACAAGATGATGGCAGGACCTCGGGTTAACTATGAAGTTGTCCATCATTGATCATGTATTCACAGGATTGGATGTGTAGGTCAGGGATATGGCAGGCACAAATGGCAATGTTGCATGTAACCATTGTAATGCATTATGTATAATTATCCTGTACTTTATTGGGAAAGGCAGAGTGTCCTACAGACCTCTCCCACACTGCGTGGTAAGGGGCTCTGAATAAAGATTGATTTGTGAACACAGGACTCAGGCTCCTTTTTAAGATCCCTTTCCAAGAATGTGTGAGTGAAGCGGGTGGGGAAGAAGGGCTGCCGTATGTGTTGGAGGGTTGGGACAAAAACAGATGTTGCTGGAAATGCTCAGTCGGTCTGGCAGCATCTGTGCAGAAAAATCAGAGTTAACGTTTTGGGTCCAGTGAGCCTTCCTCAGAACTTTTTTTGGAAGGAGGTAGAAGCGAGCTGTGCGGGGCTGGGGTACTATCAGCTTGGAAGCAGTGGGGTGGAGGTGGAAAGTTGGGGGAGATCACTGGTTGAAATGAGATCAGTTACCTTTGTGGATACAATGGCCTGATGCATCATGGTGGGGTCATGGTCCAGGGGAAGGTAGGAGGAGGTATCTAAGAGCTGGCATTCAGCCTCTGCAATATAGAGGTCAGTACGCCAGACTACAACAGCACCACCCTTATCGTCAGGCCTAATAAGGGAGTCAGGGTTAGATCTAAGTGCACGGAGTGCAGTCAATTCGGAGGGAGATAGGTTCGACTTGGTGAGGGGGGCAGAGAAATTGAGGCGACTAATATCACGTCGACAGTTCTCAATGAACAGATCGAATGCAGGTAAAAGGCTGGAGGGAGGGGTCCAGGTGGAGTGAAAGTGTTGCAATTGGGGTCTGTAGGATGGGGAGAGGGCTCTTGTCCAAAGAAATGAGCACTGAGGCGAAGATGGCAGAAGAAGAGTTTGACGTCATTTCATGCCCGAAATTCGTTACGATGGGGACGCAGAGGAATGAAGCTGAGGCGTTTGCTGAGTACAGAGCGTTCAGCATCGGAGAATGGAAGGTTAGGAGGGATGGTGAATACCCAACAGGAGGTGGGGGTTTGGGAGAGGGGATAGAGCCAGACAGAAGTGGGGGGAGGAAGGTCCCAGAGAGGGCCATGGTATCTCTGAGTTGTTTCATCTTTTGGGCCTTGATGCCTGAAAGTAAAAGAAAAAAATTTCTTGTTAGCACAACAAATGAGCCAGAGGGTGAAATGGAATTGCGGAGTGATGCAGCCCTGAGCCAGTGTGATGTGATGCTGTTGGAGAGAAATGTTGAGAGTGTGTAAGTGACCCACATGGCACTGGATCTCAGAATATGGCGAGAGCAGCTGTCCATGGAACGTTGAACATCATGGAGATATCTGTGATCCTGGGAGGATTCAAAACATGACGGATGAAACTTCAGTTGGAACCCACTTGGGGTGAGTCTGAGCCGGAGGCAGTCACTGAGGAATGTGGTATGGCTGTGGAAACGAGTTTTAGCAAATACCTGGTCAAACACCAGGAGTGACAGGGAAATTAATGTGCATGGGCAAGAAGAAAGATGGGAATGAAAATCCTGTCCGAGAGAGGAGCAGAACTTCTTCAAGTTGGGCATGCCTAGAAGAGATGTGGCACTGAGTTAAATATGAAATAAAAACCAAAAGAACTGCGGATGCTGTTAATCAGGAACCAAAACAGATGTTGCTGGAAAAGTTGAGCAGGTTTGGCAGCATATGTGAAGAAAAAATCAGAGTTCATGTTTCAGGTCCAGTGACCCTTGCTCAGAGCATTGTTGAATAATTTGGGAAACTCTATTGTATTCAGTCTGAGGAAACAAAAGGTATTTGTTCATTGATTTCATAAATTATCATGATACAGCAAAAACCAAGAGGTTGCTGCTTATTAAGACCAAAAACTGATGGCGATTATTAAAAAAAAGTTGCTAAATTGGTTACTTTAAACTTACACATTTGCCATTGTTGAGTGAATGCAGTCAAACTTCCAGATTAAAAACATGATCATGGCAACAACAACTTGAATGTATATAAAACCTTTAACAGATATAAAAAGTCCAGGGGTGCGTCACAGAAGCATAATCAGACAAAAAAAAACATAACATAGAGAATTAAACATTGGGGCAAGTAAGCAAAATTTTGTCAATCAGGTAATTGTTAAGGATTACATTAAAATGTGTGAGAGAGAAAGAGCCCAGAGGAGTTTAGGAGGAAGTTGTAAAATGTGAAGTAAAATCGCTGTAATCCCAGAGGACCATAAGGCTGTTCCCTCACTAAACAGAGGTAGTTTAACCTGAAGATGACTACGCCTCAGGTGAGGGAAATGGTTGAGAAGGAGAGTCCTTCATGGTAATCTCAGCCAGTGCTGGAATTGAATCCATCCTATTGACTAAAACATAGAGATCATAGTTGAATAATACTTACTCTGGCAGGCCTCTGGATGTGGGAATCTTGTGACCCACTTATCGTTCTGTGCATCGCATACAAACTTTGTCCCATCAAATGCACTTTGGTAGCCTTGACGACAAATCAGATGGCAAAGTTGCAGAGACTGACCATTCAGTACCTCATCACATATAACAGTGCCATCTGACACAGCTAGAGTGTTGAAGGGTAATGCACACTGTGGACCTGGGAAAACAAAACAGTGTGAGATTAAAAACCCCTTAACTAAGTCACCCATTTAAAAAAGTCACAAACATTTTTCAATCAGTGGAAGGTGAGGAATCATTTCCCATAATTGGCTTGTTGGGTAATGGGCTGGCGCAGTGGAAAATCACTGCTAAATGATAAATCTGGAACATAAATACAATCTCATTAATGTTGAGAAGAAAAACTGTTGTATCAATTATCATTAAAGTCTGTCTGGTTCACAATGTCCTTTAGGGACTATTGTCCTTATCAGATCTGGCCTACATATGGCTCCACAGCTACGGTAAGGCTGTTATCTTTTAAATGCCTTCTAAAATGGCTGAGCAAATGACTCAGTTCAAGAACAATTAAGGATGGGCAACAAATGCTGACCTTGCCAGCAAAACTGAAAGAAGTATTCCTATAAAAGGGAAAAGAAAAAATGATTGTGTTCCTCCATTGAAGTAAATGCTGAAGTTATACTGCAAGATAGAGTCACAGAATCATACAGTCAGAGAGCAGTGAAACAGACCCTTCAGCCCACCATGTCTTTGCTGACCAACAAACTCCAAATTACACAAATCCTATTTACTGCACTTGGTCCGTAGCCTACTACACCCAGCATTTTAAGTACTCATTCAGATGCTTCACAAATGTTGTGAGTGTAACTGTCTCTCAGGCAGGACATTCCACATTTTTACCACCTTCTGGTGGAAGAATTATTCCTGAATATCCTCTAAACCGCTTTCTCCTCACCTTAAACTTAGGACCCCTGATCTTAGACATGTTTGCAATGAGGAAGAGATTCTCACAATCTACCCTGTCTACGTCTCTCATGATTTTGTATACCTCGATCAGATCCCTCCTCAGCCTCCTCTGCTCCAAGGAAAACAAACCTAGCCTATCCAGTGTCTCCTCTTAACTGAGGCTTTTCATCCAGGCAACATCCTAGTGAATCTCCTCTGCACCCTTTCTAGTGCAATGACATCCTTCCGATAGTGTGGCAACCAGAGCTACACCCAGTATTCTATCTGTGACCTAATCAATATTTTATAAAGCTGTAACAAGATTTCCTTGCTCCCTATTCTATGTCCTGGATAATGAAGGCAAGATTCCATATTTCTTCTTCTGCACCCTGTTTACTGCTCTGCCAGTGCTGACACCTTCTAGAGGTAACAAAGGCATAAATGAGGGCTTCAGTAGCTGATGAGCTGAAGCAGGAGCTGAGCTGGGCAATGCTTCATAGATAGAAATGAGGGATCTTAGTAATGGCTTGGATATATGGTTGGAAACTCATCTCGGGGTAAATGTAATAAAATTGTGAACAGCCTTGTCCAAAGCTGAAGACAGCTTATGAAAGACACATTAGATATTTTTCACCACCGTGAGTGTCACAGCACCATTAGTTGTTCTCTATTATTACATAGTTTATTGTACGTTTTCCACTTCTCCAGGGAGCATCCAGATAACTTACGGTTGCAGGCCGGTTTCGATCCAGTTGTTGTGTTGATTTGTGTTCCAGGGATTTCTTCACCATTTGTAAAGACACACCAACACCTCCCTTTGCCCTGATCACACTGTACCGCTGAGAAGGAACCATCAAATTCTTCACAAGCTGGGATGTACCCTATGCCCACTTCCTGCTGCATCACTTGAGTTTTGAGAATTTCACATCTGCTGGGACCTAGTGTTTGAGAAAGGAGGAGAAGATTAATTTGACAGTTTACATTTCATCAAATTCAGTACAAAATTGGCTAAAACTATTGAATGGAGCTTTTATTACTTTTAAAGCAATGTTCTGGACTATCTCTGAACATGAACGATATGAGTAATTGATCTGAGGTGTTAATAATGTTATTTCTCATCGGTAGATCTCTCCTTCTAGCCTAACACATTTTCTTGCTAAAGTACCTATACATTATAGGCTTAATTTCCCCCATCAGTCCAGTAGGGAGCATCACCCATATGGCACTGCAGTAATTACGGGCCTGCAATTAGATTTATCTAATTACATGGTTAGTATATGAGGGGCTGTGGAATCTCTGCTCTTACAGTAACAATAATTAAAAATATAAATAAGTCCACTTTTGCCACTGGCCCTGCAAAATCATTGCTAGATTGCTGTTGACACATACACCTAAAGAATGAGTAGCTGTATGGGATTCCAGAGAGAACATGTGAAATATTATTCCAGTTCACTTTTATACATTCAACAGAAAAAGATAACTGAAAATTTAAAGTAAAATTGAACTATCTTAAGAGTTAACCAGAGAATCAGGAACAATACTGTTGTAACTGAGCATGCAGGGACAATCTATTTACACTAATATTTCTTGCTTAATATTAGGCTAGGGAATAATCTGGCAATTTTTTTTGTTCTGACTTCAAGGATCCCAAATTTGGATGCAATACTTAGGTGTGACTGTACAGGAGAGAAATGAGCAGACACAACACAATTCAGAACAAGGTACTGGAAAATTGAGGAGGAGAAGGAGATGAAGATGCACTTTCAGAAGAGGCCACATCAACCCTTGGTGCTCAGGAGTGAGAATCAGTGGATATGAAGTGGAGTCACAGGTCAGGCAGGAGCCAGTGAAAGCCTGGCATCACTTATTTTAGACAAGACCCACACCATTTGGGGTGGCACGGTGGCTCAGTGGTTAGCACAGCTGCCTCACAGCACCAGGGACCTGGGTTCGATTCTGGCCTTGGGTGGCTGTCTGTGTGGAGTTTGCACATTCTCCCCATGTCTGTGTGGGTTTCCTCCCACAGTCCAAAGATGTGCAGGCTAGGTGGATTGGCCATGCTAAATTGCCTGTAGTGTTCAGGGATGTTTGATTAGGTGGGTTATAGGGGAATGGGTCTGGGTGGGATGCTCTGAGGGTCAGTGTGGATTTGTTGGGCCGAAGAGCCTGTTTCCACACTGTAGGGATTCTATGATTGAGTGTTACTTGGTAACTTAACTGGTCAGTAGCAGGCCAACACTCAGGATCAAGAACCCTGGGACCAGTCATTCCACCCACCAAAGTCATCAGTCAGAGGTGAGCTGCTCTCCTGAACTCCTGCACCATTGATGAGGTGGTTGCTGCTGTGTCAGTATGACACCCACCTGAGCCTTAGTATTGGCCATGGATCCTAGGCCATGGGCCAGAGTGGGGTTACGAGGAAGCTCTCTACTTTCCACTCATCCCCAGCAGCAGCAGCAGTGGAATAAGGCATCTAATTGGTCATTAATTTTCTGCTCAAGGTCCTCCGATGGTGATCAATCCTGCCACAAATGTAACAAGGGTGTAGGCAAGAAGATAGCAGATTCAACCCACCAACATCCAACATGATTAGGTGTTCTCACACACTTACCACTACACCAGAAGAGGGCATTAAATTCTACTTCATTTAGGATGACCTCGCTTGAAATCTACCTGTAACCACAACCACACTGCACAATGATAAAAGAGTGAGGGTTGAGTTTCCACTGTTGCAAATTAGCGTTATTGTGTCTGGCTCCTGGTTGGAGTAGATAATATTTACAACCTCATCCAGTTATAATCCACTGTTATGTAAGGGAGGTTTGAAAAACATTTGGACAGGTACATGGATGGGAAAGGTTTAGAGAGAAGTGGACCAAATGTGGGCAGTTGGAACTAGCTGAATAGGCACCATGGTCAGCATGGACCAGTTTGGGCTGAAGGGCCTGTTTCCATGCTGTATTATTCTATGACTCTATGACTCTAGGTCACTGAGGTCTATTTTTTCAAAAAAAAGTTGAATATAACATTCAACATTCACTCTCTTTACAACCAAAGCACAGTGGCATTGGTGTGTACCATCTACAAGATGCATTATAAGGCTTTTCTGACAGGACCTTCCATACTCGAGACCTTAAAGGTATAAAGACATAATGTGTCTCTTCAAAGGTACACTGATGAGAAATAACACAACATTTCATATGTAACCAGTCAGCACAAAGTTTGCAAGTTGACTGCATCAAATTCAACACATGGAATTAATCACGTCAGAATATTTTTGTATATCTTTAGGAATTATCAAATGTCTCAGCCAGAATTCACTGAACCATGAGGAGCACCATTCATGGGTATTTTGGGGACATATTTGAACAGCTTTCCTACTTTGTTCTTTCTATTTCCAGTGAAATGGATGCCATATTCTTCAAATGTAAGTATATCCGGCACTGTCCCATTTCCATTGCCTTTCCTTGAAACCACTCCAATACCTCTGTAACGTTTCTGAAGAAAGCAGCTGTAGTGCTTCAAATGCGACTACAGCAATGTGTTCACTTGTGTCCATAGAGCCTCTTAGATTTGTTGAAATCCAAATTTCTATTTCCTTTGGTGTGTCCTTCCATTCAATTTGCTGACACTTCTAATGCTTCATTAACTAACTGAGCTAATATTTGTCATTCCACTTAATTTATTAATCTACAGAAGCAATATTATTCATGATTGAGGCAGAAGTATTCCAGAATTCATGGAAATCCCCTGAATAAACATAAAGTTAAAAACCACATCCCAACTTTTAACATTGTCAGTTCTAACTTTGTAATACATAAATAATTGCTCCTTGTCACCTCAACTTGAAAACACTGCAGACTTCCATGTTTCATCAAGATGAAATCTTATGAAAAGTTGTATTCTATGATTTCAGATAACACAGTCAAACCTGTTTGCCTTTCCAGTTCAACAATGATACATTGTTGATACATGGTTGATGAAAAAGACCGCAGTTGTGATCAATCCAAATGAGTGAATTAATGTTGCAAGATATGACTGATGAACATTTAAGAATAGACTGTTACATGGACACAGCACTCCCTACTGTTTATTACAGGAATATGCTGTGATTTATTGTTTGCTATACTACGTGTGATTCTGAGCAAAATTCTTCCTAGCTCTACAGGTTTCCATCTGTATATCATTTTGAGCTCTGAATACCCATGAAATCAGTTGGTAGTTGAACTGCTTTGCTGCCTCTAATCCTCCTTTCTGAGCTGAATCTAGGAGCGTGTCCTTTTATTGATAGAGAAGAGACTACTGAAGAGGCTTAGCGAGAAGAGGGACTTGTCTGACCTAACAAGACGTCATTAATTACAAAATAGAAACATGTACAATCAATAATAGGCATAAATACAACTATCAGGAGCCAGGTATGTTGCACCTGTCTTCAGTGGGACCTTATGCTGAACAGGTTTTTTCTCCACCTAATGCCATGTCATTAGCTTGAGTGGAGTTATTGCAACTTAAAGATCAACTCTTTTAGAACCTTTACTTTATACAACATTGCTGCCCAAGCTTTTCCCCATTGTTTACCTTTATAAATTCATGTGCATTACTACTTTCACATTTACGACTACCCTACCCCTTACCAAGTCTATAACTTCACAAATTCAGGAAGTCTAGAGATTTGACAGTTCTTTCAAAATATAGTCTTCTGAATATCCTTCAAAGAAGATGCTGCTGATTCGGTTGTCTATAACCTCACCTGGGTGACTGTTAATTTTGTGAATGTCCATTATGGACATATTTCCCTTGTATTATCCTGAATTTCTGGACCAGCCATTGGTATTTGGTTTGAGCAGATATTCTTTTTTGTGTCTCACATCACCAAATTCCTTTTTGTGATAGTATCTTGAACCTACAGATATTCATCTGGCTACCACAGGATTGCACATAGATCAGCTTCATTTTGTTTAAGCAAACATTTACTCACAATCTACAGATGTGTCTGAGTTGAGTTGTATAAGCTTTCTACTTCAATGTGTTGAGTAGGTTAAACATCTTCCTTTGCTGTCTGCAGATCTAGTTTTAGTAAACCTAGCTATTTTCACAGCCTCGGTCACGTTACTAGAGGATGATTGTTCAACTAGTATCAGATTTGCCAGTAGCGCTGACAATTTTGCTTTGAGAGACAACAGATTGTAATGTTTTTTGATAATGATAGGAATGGAAAACATTTCCAGTCCTGTAACTTATGTAACTTCCTTCCTGTTGAAAGTATGAAACAGTTCTCCTATGCCAATGTAGGTAATCTCATGAGACTCCTTTTTTGGATTCTGCCATGGCTCTCAGATGCTCAATGAAATGCTCTAATGGCTAACCATTGACCAGGTAGTTCACAATGCTTTGCTCCTGTACCAGTTGCTCTCATGGGTCAAACTCATTCTGCTACCACAAAGCTTTGGAGACCAAGTCATGTAAGCAGGCTGAAAAAGTGTGGAGAATTGACTGTGATCTATGTACACATTTTTAACCCTTATATGCTGTTTGTGTTGCAGTGTCATTTGTAGAATGCATTTCATTTTGAGACTTATTCCACCTGAACCTTATAGTTTCACCTTACAGTCTATAACTTTCATTTCTTCAGTCATGGGGTATCTGACGCTTATTTCTGTATCAAGCTAAAAAATTGTAATATGTCCATTGACATATATAAGCACTATGAAATTTAAGTCAGTTGAATCAGTAATGTTAGTCAAATAACCAGTTTATTCTAGGAATCCCTCCGGTATCACCTCTAATCTCCTCATTTTCCAACGCATTTTGAATGAATTTCTCCAAAGTTACCTTTTCGGAATTCTGACTTCAAAGTTCCATAGTCACAGTTTACTATTAACCTGTATTGGTCATTAATGAGATTATTGCCAAATTCCCTTCTAAACTGTATTCATCTGTTAAATCTTGTGCTTTCAAAGATTACATTTGTTCTCATATTGATGTAATTATCAAAGACTTCTAACATTTCATCAGCGGTATCTGTGCCTTCCTTGGTATTTTGATGATTTTAAAAATTATCCTCAATATGGCATGCTGAATACAATAATGTACTAATTTGTTCAGACTCAGAGTCAGTGTTTATATTTGAAGCAATTCTGCATCACAAGCATTGTTTTCTTCAAAATGTCCAATCCTATGTTGTTTGACCTGTCTCTAGCATTAAATATTTTCTGAAGTGTTATTTCTTCTTCTATTCCTTCTTCATGTGTTTATTTATTCTTGTTCCTCTAAAACTGTATAATCTCAATACTGTTTATAATTTGCTACATCAAACTTGTATTCTTACATGAAATCAGTACTGTTTAAATATTGGGTTAGAGATTTGAAAAACTGCAGATGCTGGAATCCAAAGTAGACAAACAGGAGGCTGGAAGAACACAGCAAGCCAGGTAGCATCTGGAGGAAAGGAGCAGTCCTGAAGAAGGGTAATACGCGAAACATTGACTGTCCCTTTCATCCAGATGCTGCCTGGCTTGCTGTGTTTTTCCAGCCTCCTGTTTGTCTACCCTGTTAAATACTGTTATCTTAAAGTTTCTTCAAACTTCAAACTCTGTATTATGGCATTATTGTATGACCTTTTTTCCAATACAGCTTTAAATTTTGATAACTAGCAATATTGCATCATATTATTTTTTAAAGTTTCAAATTCTGCTAAACAGCAGAACTCTACATCTGTACTACCTGTGGGGTTTTCCCACTTTTTCATCATCAAAATGATGGTTCCTACTATCTGGATTGTTTTGCCACCTTCTGAAGCCAAGATGAAGTCCTTCTCATTTGGGTAAGTTGGATGCTTTTGAAGATCGAAAAACAAATCATGTCCCCTTGATAGTTTATTTTAGAAAACATTCTATGTCAGAGGCCAAAATAACTCTTCCCATATAAATTGTACTTTAAACTGTGAATCTCGATCTTCTCATTCTTCAAACTTTATTTACAGTTAGGCTCTATCTTAAAACCATTTAAATTTTTCTTTTTGTTCATGTATGATACCTATATGAGTTTTCTGCAGCCTTAATGCTAATAACATTCCTGGTCTTTGCTCTGTCTATTGTAGCCATGCCTCATGAGGCTCTCACACAATGGTGGTGTTGCTCATTTGAAAGGTTAAGTACTCCTTTTCACCTCTTTCCTTTCAAATTTGATCTTTGTGCTGCTATTGTGAAGCATTCTTCCTTCTTGTCTTCAAGTATCCCCAGAAGTTCCTTCTCCAAGGTCCCTGTTTCTTCCCAGGTTAGGTTTTCCTCTTTTCCTAAACCTCACTGTTTTCTCTGTATCTCTTACTAGTTTTGAGATCAGTATTTTCTTCTAGTTGACTGTTTTTGTCTTGTTATTGCTCCCACAAGTGGTGCAGACTATTAGTTGGTTTTTGCTTTTAGGTGCTGACTGACAGATGTGTCTTCTTAAATCAGTGATGTTAAAGTGATAAACATGTTATTGTCAGAATTTTTTTTTCCCAGGTTGTATGCATTCAGTCCACCATTGGTACTTCCAGAAATTTCAGCACTAGTGTTCACACTGATCATCATTACATAATGCGTGCTGAGTACCAACTGCTGGTGGTTGAGATATTTCACTGCTACTGATCCTGCTTTCTACTCTTTTAGATATTTTCAAAACAACCTGTTCAGAAATGTTATTACATGCTTGTAGAGAGGTGGACCTTAAATGCAGGCCTCCTAAGCCAGAGGAAGGTAAACTACCACTGCACTACAAGGGTTCATATCAAACCTTGGTGGCACCAAAATTAAGTCTGAACTTCACAGCCCTCTGAAGATATTTTCTGACCAAATTGTTTACCAATAGTATGACACACCTCTGGAGCAATGGGACTTAAACCCTGGTCTCCTGTCTCAGAGATAGGGGCACCACTCCTGTACCACAAGAAGCCCTAATGCTGCTTTCTATGTTGAGTCTAAGAGCCTGCTTAATTATTAATGGTAGAGGATAGACCACTAGAAAGTCCTAACAAGAAGAGGCATCTGTCTTAAATAACAATGTCCTAGTCAATATTTGGTTCTTAAAATCACAAAAGCAGAATATCTAGTCATTAGCTTGTAGGTTCTGCAATATACAAATAAGCTTCCCTTTTCCCTATATGAAAACGTAACTACAAAGTCAATAATTGGCTATAAGATGCTCTGCAATGTCCTGAGGTCCTGATGTGAAATGTGCCATAAATGCAAGCTCTTTCATTATATGTAAACCACTGAGTTTGGTCGCATTCATTCTCCATACTGTTTAACACTCTTTTTCTTTTTAAAGACACCTAATTCTGTTTCAAAATAATTTATGGACTCATTTTAACAAGAAATTGTGGCAGAAGTTAAACACGTTAACTCTACTGTTACGCATATTTTTCATTCTAAACGTTTCTCCAACAAGAAAGCCTCATATACTGCTTTCCAAATTATTAATCATTGTTATTGTTGGAAGATGCAACACATCTGTGGGCAGTTTCAGAAATTATTTTGAAGATTTTTTCACAGCTCCAGCTGGTAATGGTGGAATCTCCGGGAAATCTCACCTTGATGTGGCCCACTGCATTCTTCCCCTGAAACTTGACAACAACCTTTTTTTGAAGGAATGGAAACAAATGCACACTTATGACAAATGTTTAACTTACTGCTTTCTAATATTGTAAGTACTTTAATAATCAATTCTAATGCTTAGAGGTTAGTGTCATCATCACAGAAGAGAAAAGAGGCAGAATTACTTTGGCTCATTTTTTTCAATCTTGTTTTTTGACACAATTGTGTCAACTTACAACTTGCAAACTAAACTTGTTAATCAGCTGTCAACTTTAATTTCATAGAGGATGATTGACTCACTTCCAGTTTTTATACAAAGATGGCGGGTTGAATCCTATAGAATCCGACAGCTGAAGAGGCAGTAATTTAGCTCATCAGGTAATGCCATCTCTTTGAAAGAGCTACCTAATGAGTTTTATCCTTACAGGCAGTGAGATTCCCACTACCCTCTGGTTGAAAAGAATTTTCTTACATTTCCTCTAAAGCTTCTGCTCCTTACCTTCCACCTATCCTCCCGGTCATTGATCCCTCTATCAAGGGGAAAGGATGCTTCCTGTTTACCCTATCTATGCCCCTCATAATTTTATACAGCTCATTCATGTCCCCTCTCTGTCTCCTATGCTTTTAGGAAAACAACCTTTTCTGAAGAAGTGTCCAGACCCGAAACGTCAGCTTTCCTGCTTCTCTGATGCTGCCTGGCCTGCTGTGTTCCTCCAGCTCCACACCTTGTTATCTCAGACTCCAGCATCGGCAGTTCCTACTATCTCTCAGTCTGTCAATCTCTCTTCATAACTGAAACTCTCAAGCAAAGGCAACATCCTGGTAACTTTCCTCTGCAACCCTCTCCAGTGCTATCACATCCCTCCTATAATGTGGATTCCAGACTGCACACAATACACTAGCTGTGGCCCAACCAACATACTGCCTATAGATTTGCAGCATAACTTTCCTGCTCTTAAACTCTATGCCTCATCTAATAAAAGCAAGTATACCATATGCCTTGGAGATAGTAAGAACTGCTGATGCTGGAGTCAGAGATAACACAGTGTGGAGCTGGAGGAATACAGCAGGCCAGGCAGCATCAGAGGAGCAGGAAAGCTGACGCTTCGGGTCAGGACCCTTCTTCAGAAAAAAATTCTGAAGAAGGGTCCCGACCTGAAACGTCAGCTTTCCTGCTTCTCTGGTGCTATCTGGCCTGCTGTGTTCCTCCAGCTCCACACTGTTATCTATACCATAAGCCTTGCTTTTGTTTTCTACACCTCTATTTATGTGATAGGATGCACCATTCTGCCACTAACAAAATGCCAGTAGGCTGAGAACATTGCCCTCAATAGGATGTTCAGTTATTTAAATTTGCTCTCTGTCATTTTCCTCGACCTAGCAACTTCCAGTTTGATGTTAGGAAACTGCCATCTTGTTCATGAGTCACTAAAAGTTAGCGTGTATGTTCAACAATCAATTCAGAAGAGAAAAGGAATGTTGGACTTCATGACAAGAGGATTTGTGTACAGAGGGAAAGATGTCTTGTTGCAATTGTATCGAGCCTTGGTGAGACCTCACTTTGAATATTGAGTGCATTTTTGATCCACTGACCTAAGGGAAGCATTTACTGTCTTAGAGAGAGTGCAATGAAGGTTCACTAGATTAATCCTTGGGGTGGTGGATTGCCTTATGGGGAGACTAAGTTCTTATTCTCCAATATTTCAAAAATGAAGCATTTCATTAAAACTTACAAATTTCTCATGGGGTGACAGGGTGGGTGCAGGTAAGCTTTTTGCTCCGGTTGATGATTCTATAACCATGGGGAAAATAATCTCAGGATAAGGAATAAGCCATTTAAGACTGAGATGAGGAAGGATTTCTTCACTTAAAAGGTGGTGAATCTGGAGAGCCCAGATGGTTGTGGAAGCTCAATCATTGAGTTGGTTCAAGACAGAAATATACAGATCTCTGGAGACTAATAGCATCAAGGGAAGTGGAGATACCTGAGAAAGTGGTGTTGAGATAGAGAGCCAAGATCTAAATGAATGGAGAAGGAGATTAGATGAGAGAAATGACCCCCTCTTCGCAGCCTGATGACTATATCTGTACCTCCATGATAAAAGCTCAGAATCACACTACTGAGGATTATGAGGAATTTTTATCATGTTTGATATTTGAGACTAGAAATCAGGAGTGTTGCACTGCAATAGAAATCAGTATCCAGATTACATGTGAGAATTCCTATCAAAATCTCCCTGACCTCACACACTGTCAATGTACTCAATTCTGGTAACGGTACTCACAATGTGGCTGCCCATCTGAATCAGTTACAGCCAGTTGAAAAGCTTTCCCAGTCACTGGGTCAATGCACCAAGCTTTACCATCCCCAGAATCTGACCACTGCAAGATATTGTATTCTCCACTCTGCAGAACAAAATATAAACATTACTCAATGCAAGTCAAAGCCAGTTAAAAGATGAGGTACACTTTAAGCACAAAATGTACTTTTGACATGTTTAGATTTTTAAAAACTATTTGAAGAAAATGTATTTCCTATTTCATCTATCTAGTTTATTAAATGATTCAGCTAGATGTTCAGAGTTCCTGTCCTTTGTATGGTTCAGAAAATATATCACACATATAGCTTTGTTGTGGTACAAACGCGCCAATAATATGTAACTGGTTGGTGGGAGAGAGATTGAGTTAGTTAGTGCACTGGTGATATGCCCAGAGTGTTGGTTTAGCCCAGATGAACTGAAGTGATGACTTGTCCAGCCTATGAGATACCCTAAAACATATTTCTAGTGGATATGATTTGCAGCATAAAGTTATCCTGAATTCAGAAAAAATTGTTAAAAAGGACCAGATTGCACTTATAGAAAATCCAGTTAACTGGCCTTCTTTACAGGAGGGTCCATCTACAAACCTCCCAGTAGAATGCCCATGGGATTTCAGGTAGACCCTGTCCAGCAAACTGTTTATGAGGTTCTTCTTAGTCTTCTGTTATCTGGCCGGCACTTTCAATCCTGCACAATGGCCCATCTTTAGGAAATGCAAGTCCACTCACTCCAGGACAGAAGGTCCTATAACAGGCATCTCAAACTCTCTGATGGATTTTCCCCTTTAAGCTCCACTAAGGCTGTTCTGAACAACCAGATGGTAAGGTAGAGATTTTCCCAATACTCTTTAAAATAGTTCAGTGCCTCTTCATAAATGGATTGTGATGGTGCATATATTTTTCTAAAAGGAGATCCTGATGGCGAGTGTATTGTTCTGAAAACTGTGTAGATAATTAAGTCTCTCACAGAATGGTGGTTTAATGCTAAGGCTCCTACATCAAGAGAATTTATCAGTGAGTCTCTCTCTATATGAAGAGTTTCTTGACAGTAAGATGATCACTTTAAAAGAGAGAAGACCTCAAAGGGAATAGAAGCAAAAATAGTAAAGTGCATATAATTTTACAAAGCAATAGTCATTAAAACAGGATATTGTTCTGTTTAAAATGGTGTCAGCAAGAAGCCACTCTACGATGTCTAATAAATTCTCTTTGATCTGTGACTTAATTAGTTTGTGCATTGCTAATTAATGACATCGCCTGTGATACAATCACCTGGAACTACTACTAAATGAATAGTATCCATCAATTTAATTTGTTCTGTGATCTCACCATCTTACTCAAGGCAGATGTGTGATCTTTATTCTGGTTTATTGATAACGAAGTCTGGTACTTTGGTAATGTTACTATGAATTTCCATTTTAGTATCTCTAAAAGAAATGTTTGTAGTCCACAGCTGATTTTAGAGTTGGCTGAGCAAATGAAGGTCCATTATGAACTATATTGTATAATTGATGATATTTAAATCGTTAGCTGATGTTTCAAAATATGTCATTTGAGAATGATAAGAAGTATTTCTCTTTGAAAGGAGAGACAATGGTGAAAGTCCCTCCTTCAGACAGGGTGAATACGTCTCTTTTTAGAAGAGGTCTTGTTCGTGATAGTCCCCTGTTAAAAGGACCCTTTAACTGAAGTCATAATTATGTGAGGGCCTTTAAAAGAGTTTGTAGAACAATTAGTGTACCTTTAACGGGTATCCTGACAGTGAAATTCTATCGTTAAAAGTGGGTCCTGTATAAATTGGCGGTGTTGGTGGTATTTATCATTTTGTTTCAAACTTACCACAGAACAAGTTGGATCAAATAATTCCCTGTTCGTGTTATTAAGCTGGAAACCCACACGTTTCCATCCAGCCACAGCAGCATTCGTTTGAGAGCGTTGACATGGGGTCTGACCTGGAAAAGGAAGATTGAAATGCTAACTGCAATACTTTAGTGGTTTGTAGTGGCCCTAAAATTTTGAAACTAGTTTGATGTTCCAAAAAAAATGAAGAACAAAAAAGTATAAATATGCATAGGTAACCCCATATGTGATGAGCTGATAATCTAATGGTGAGAGTGAACAAAATGTCAAGATGATACTGTTGGCCATAGCTCTCTATTACCAATTTTACACATGTGTCAGTACAAGACATGTGAAGACATTAGATAAAAGAAAATGGAGAACACAGTTTTCTTTTGAAAAAAAGAAAGCTGGCTCCCTCAGTAACTTAATGAGTTGGTGCTGAGTGAGTGGTTGGGTCATTCAGACAATGAAGGGCTCTGATTTGACCTCCGATCTATACTCAATTAATTATTTTCAGCGTTAATGGCATCACTCTCACTTTGTGTTCCTGCTGGAATTATTGCAAGTCAGGCAAAAGCAGGTTTGGTCTCTGCTATGATAGCCCTTATCATGGGATATCTTAATGATATGTGTTTTTCAATTCACATGTAAGGAATGGTTTGGGTAAGATTCTGCTATTCCAGGGACATGATGTCTTCAAGGTACAGGAGAAAACAACACAAGGATGAGAACTTTAAATTTGAGACATTTCCAGTCCAGTATCTAATATAGTACCGACTTGCTGGGTAAATGGGATTTGGTGCAAGTTAGGATGTGGCTAGCAGGTTTCTATGCAATTTCCAACTTACACTGATGTATCTGGGCCAAGCGAATAACCAGTGAACCAGGAATATAGTTTCCAGTGTTATCAACACACCAACAGTGACCTGCAGCAAACCAAAAGGGTGGCAGTAATAAGAAGTGGTCAAATATAATGCCCAAGCATAGAAGATAATTATAAATGACAAAAGTTTTATATATGCATTTTCTGTCTCATATCACTGCTGCCCCACATTCCCTTTAAATCCAGTCCTGGTTTAACTGAAACTCAAATTCCATTACTGAAATGTCAGCATATTAATTAATTATATTGTACAGGTTCATCATTAAGTTAATAAGCTCTAGTGTTAGCAGTGAAGGCAGTAAATATTATAAAAACACAGCAACTACTGCATGCACTGAAAGAGGAACCTTTCTTTATTCACTCGTAGGATGTGTGCCTTGCAATTTCTTGCCAGCATTCCTCTTTGACCTTGAGAAAGTGATCATGAGCCGCCATCATGAACACTTCATACGGTACAGGTACATTAGCCTATCTTTTTCATTTATGTGGCAAATAATCTACTGTGCCTGATCCATTATTATTTCTCTGCCTTGGAAACTCTTTCAAAAAAATCATACCACTTGGCATCATTCTTTCTTGCTTGAGCGTTTAATTGCTTACAACACTTGCTTGCCTCTTCCATCTACCGCTCAAAACCTGCCTCACACTGACATTTTCAAAGAGCATTACAGAAAAAAACAAGCAATTGTTGTTGTGCAATGTAGGTCCTGGTGAAATTTTAGTAGTCTTCTGGCACTGTGGGTGATATTTTCAAGTCAAACAACTCCACTTACCAGTACTCTCATAGCACTGAGTTGGTTCCCAGTTTCCAAGGCCATCACATTGGGGGATGTAAGGGCTGTAACCTTTTAGAGTTAATTCCCCAAGAATCCTTTCCTTGATGGGTTGATTTCTCCTGTAGAATTGTAGAACTGTTTGAAAGCACCTCATTAGTAAAGTCAGGTAGGTCACAGAACAAGAGCAAAAGTACACAAGTGTACTTTAACATATAAAAGCCAGTTAATAACACATGATGCTTCTCCAAACTACTCTGTCTCACAACATGTAAATTTTTCCTAACACTAATCAGATACCTGCACTGTTTACAATATCTGAAGCTCCGAATTTTCTTTTATAAGTGATATTTTCTTTACGGCTGGTAATTTTCCCATAAGACATAGAAGCAGAAGTAGGCCATTCAGCCCATCTTTTCTGCTCCACCATTCAATAAGATTGTGGATGACTTGATATTCCTCAGCTCCACTTTTTCAGCACCCTCTCCAAAATCCTCTACTCCCTTACTGACCAACAATCTAGTTGATACATAGTTTTTTTCAATCCTTAACATAATTAATTGTCCATAAATTTGCTGTTAAGTAACAATAAGGCTAGGGCACTCCTTATTATTTATCCAGAAATGTTACAGCAACTTTAGGTGGTGGATGCATATTTAAACACAGAAATCTAAACATTGCTGTCTTGGATGTACCATTCTACCATTATCATCCTGAAAAATAGTACTTTCCAGCTCCATGCACCTGACTCAGGGTGAAGTGCCCCAGACAGTCGGACTTTTGCTCTGGGGACCAGGCATTAGTAGGTGTCAAGTCACTGCCCTGACAAAGAATTTGGAGGCAGCCGTGAGAAATCTGGAGGAGGAGAGCTGAGGGAAAGGGCTGCCTCTGTGTTCTGACACTCTGTCATAGCTGCAAAGCAAAACAATAAAACAAAAAATAGCCCTCACCTCTTACACCCACACAAACCCATCTACAGTGCCTACCAACCTATGCCACCTCATGCCCCATAGCTTTTCACAATGTATGTCCTCCCAGCTAACCCCCCTTGGCCTTTTATATGTTCACTTAGTGCTAAATTTTGCCAAACCGTGCTCCCAATTTGCCATCTTTTGTCTTTACACATTCTATGCCCACAGACTTAGATATCCACTATGAATCAACCTCAGGACCCATGATGAAATTAAATAAGAAAAAGTTCCAAGCGTCTGACGATGAATTTGCTCATTGCAAAAAACCTTTAACTTCCTTCAACTAATTAGTCGGTTAAAAAAGCAAACATTTGCATTCATAACCCATTTCAAAGACTTATAAAAGCTTGTGAAATACCGTGAACTGGCATCCTACTATGATACTAATAGCTTTTGAATCAGTCATGCAGCACACATTCTTTAATAACAGAGCTCAGGTGTTAACAGAGTGAACTGATTTCTTTACATTGCAGACAGCTTTTAATTTAGAAATTATGAAACTAGGACATTTAAGTAATTTGACAGCATGACAGCCCTTCTGACAGCTCACTTGATACCTCCCTTGACAGTTTGACCATTACCATAAGTTCTAAAGAGCATACTATTGCTAATGGGTTTATCCACTGTTAACACACGTGCGCCTACTTTTAACTAATCCAAAGATCATGTGATGTTTCACAAAGGGTATGTGTCCCATCCAAATGGTTACCTTTCCTCTAAAATTGTAGCCTATCACTGCAAAGAACTTCACAAACTTCAGAAATTCTCATGATATGTCTCAAGTGCTCAAGTTGTGTTTTGACCAACCCACTAATGAAAATTAGATCTGATTAATTGCACTGTAATGGGTGCAGTTGCTTCCATGATGCACTGATGTGCAAAGTATGACACAGTCAGATTGCTTTCCCTGACTCTCAACCCCAGCAAAAGCAAGAGTGTCTGGCTTGGGGACTTCAGGACTTTGGCCTTTGGTGCCATATTTGCTAAATCAACAAACTAGACTCTGTCATGGCCAAACCTCAAACTTTATTATTTCTTTTCATTAATTTCACAATCTTTCAATCTGATCTGGTTGAGGAAATGCAGAGTTGCTGGCCATGTTTACTTAGCTTCCAGATGGCTGGCTTTTCTCACTTTCTCATCGTGAAACTTGTTTAAACACCTATATGTACAAAGACAATCTAAATAATGCTAGACATCACTATAAAGCCTGCCATTGCAAATTACGCCATAATTGTTTTCTTTCCTAGGAGGCCAGTGAATTTTCTGTTGAGACAAGTTGATTCTAAGTTTATATATGGCAGTAATAATAACATACAAATATATAGCTTTAATGTAGTCTTTAATGTAGGAAAATATCCTGAGACATTTCATAGAATCAAATAAACATGATGCTGAGCCAACTAGGAATATAAAGTAATTAACTATAGCTGAGGATGGACAATAGGTGCTTTTCTCTGTTAGGGAGAGAGAGAGATGGGTGGTTGAGAGGCATCATTCCATATCAAACATGGGACATGGCAATGAGGGAGACCTCCATGAACTACCTCAACTAATATGAGAGTCAAACCCTTGACATTTGCATTATTCCACTCCACACTTTATCCATCCAGTCACCGAGCTAACCAAATCCAGTGCTAAGTTTGGGAAGGCAACACGGCATAGCCTTCAGTGGGATGAAAGAAAATAAGATATGCGTACATGAAGGAACTCTAGACGTAGGATGCAGGCGAGTAAGGCTGTAAATTGTAACAGGAGATCATTGAGCTACCCAAGCAAAGTCAACCAACTAATCCAGAACTTATTTACCTGGCTTCACCCCATAATTCTTAATGACCTTATCTAATTAAAAAACTATTATTTCCCACATTGAAAATGCCAATTATCCATGTATACATATCCCTCTCAGAGAAAAACATCATGAATTTAGGGGGCAGCACAGTGGCTCAGTGGTTAGCACTGCTGCCTCACAGCACCAGGGACCTGGGTTCAATTCCACCCTCGGGTGACTGTCTGTGTGGAGTTTGCATGTTCTCCCCATCCCTGCATGGGATTCTTCCAGGTGCTCTGGTTTCCTCCCACAGTCCAAAGATGTGCAGTTTAGGTGAATTGGCCATGCTAAATTGCCCATAGTGTTCAGGGATTTGTAGATTAGGGGGAATGGGTCCGAGTGGGATGTTCTGAGGTTCAGTGTGGACTTTTTCCATACTGTAGGGATTCTATGATCTATGAATAGGAGTTTCCTGATCTCTCTCCCAGATGAACCAGTTCTATATTCAGCTGGAAGAGGCCACAGAGATAGGAAGGAGTGACCTCACAAAAGATTTGAATATTGGGATGAGAAATTTTAATTAGAGGCATTTGTGGACTAAAAATTAATGTAGATCCGTGAGGGTAGGGATATTGTGTGAGTGGGATAGGGCAGTGTTACAGATTTACCTCACTAAATTTTGAGAATAATATAAACAAACTCACAGGATTAGGATCGTAAGACAGGTTAACTCAAGATTAGCACAGAAATATATCCATTTAGATATAAAACCAATTTGCTCACTGGATTGGGCAGCCAATCGAACAGCATAGTCAGATCCACTCAACAAAGCTTCAGAAAAGGAAGGAGCTGATTGGAACATCCCAAAGGACTGAAGTTCATTCTCAGTCAGTTGTATACCACTGGCAGATAAAAAAGCCTGGCCAAAGGTAGTATTGGAATTTTTGGAATCCACCATTATTTCCTCTGCCTGACTAATAAAATGAAAGACTTGTTGAACAGCACGATCACAGGATCCCGGGCCTAGGACAAAGCACAATGATGCACATCATTTAAATAGAAAGCAGGGATTATACATAACCCAAATGTAATTCAATAAACTGTACAGCAAACATGGATTAAGAATGAAGAACAAAAAGACTAAAATTATGATAGCCAAAAGGAATTCATTTGAACAAGCAAGAATGATACTGAAGTGGTTTGTGTCACACTTGAACAAGTAGGTACATTTATCTAATTTTGTAAAATCAATATGTTAGATGGAATGCTGAAATCCAAGAAGGATAGAGATCGTCAGAAATAATTTTCTGAAGATGACGAATCTGTGTTCAAGTAAAGTCAAGTGCGTAGCAAGGACCAAACTAATAAGATGTTACATTCTACCCATTTTCTCTCACATTTCTGAAATTTGAACATTAAATAAGACCTGTGAATCAATTAGAGATCTTTGAAGTATGGATGTTAAATGTATGTTTAAAAATATAGACAGATCTCTGCTTGAGGACAAAGTGGAGGCCAGCTAAAAAAAATGGGCTCAATCGAGCCATAGTTGGATAAAGTATATCACAGAGCAGTTACGGAAGAGCTACAGTGGATGCATGAGAATGAAGCAAGACAGAGATGCAAGACATACTATGATAGCAGATCTCAGTTTTAAATGGAAAATTTTACTGTGAAATCTAATATAGGGTAAAATGGGCCTTTCATTCGCAAACAGCATTTCTCCTATTGCTGTCAATGACCAGTTTCACTTCTGTGGTGACTGTTGATTTAGCGGAAGAGGATGACGAAGAGAATGAAATTCAGAAAATGACATAACATGAAACAGGTATAGTGATGAAACAAAAGGGAAGACAAAAGTGTGGAAGAGTAAGCAATTGAAAGAAAGTTAAGGGACAGGTATTTGGAGAGTCATAGATTACCATTGAGAAGAAAGCAAGTGAAGGTGATAGGAAAAGGAAAGGATGAGAGAAAGCTTTAAAAAGGGTGGGAGACAAAGGAAATTAGCAAATAAGTTTGAAAGATGTTCGAACTGCAGCATTGCTTACATTGGGGAAATTGACCCATTTCAGCCTTTGTCCCTGGAAGCTCTTGTCCTTTCTCATCAACACACCAACATCTCCGCAGCTCCATCTTCTCCAATTTCACACTGAAATCAGAGTATAAACCAGGATAGTGTGTCACAGCACCAAACAACAACTGCCAAAACACGTAAGGATTCAGCAAAATATTAGTTCCAGGCTGAGAGGTGGCAATAGCTGCAAAATCATCAGCAGAAATTGAGTGAAAAGTTGAGAATCGAGAGAACACTGAAAAGACATGCTGATGGTTCTTCTTGTAGAGTTCCTTCACAAACATCTCAAAACTCGTGGAAGCACGAAATAATTTGCGGTAATCAACAACCTCATTTAAGATGGCAGTAAATGGCATTTCCTGGCCTCCATTATTCTGAGAAATCCACTGTTGATAAAATTCAATGGCCTGTTGTGGAAGGCCATCACACTGGACTTGTCGCCACTCTCCATTTTCTTTGCACTGAGCTACATAGATTACAGGCACTGAGACCAAGCTTGGTTCTGACAGCAGTAGCTCAATTGATTTTAAAAATCTTTCCGCAGCAGACAATTGGCAAGTACTGGGACCTGGAAAGAGAAAAGGATTATCAAGAATAAATATTTTCGTCTCTGCTCAATGTCCAGTCTAAGAATGCTCAGGCTTTATTTAACTGAGTATCTGGTTAGAAAAGCACATTTTTGATTCAAATGAACTTGTGAGTTCCATTGACAAGTTTGGCATTTATTGAAAGTGATGTAGATAAATATGAAGGAGATAGTAGGAACTGCCGATGCTGTGTTTGTCCTGCTGTGTTCATCCAGCTCTACACCGTGTTATCTTAGATAAATATGAAACCAAGTTCTCCAATCTCAACAAAAGAGACTCTGAGATATGAAGGGTAAGTTGGCAGTGTTGTACTGGCAAAATACATTAAAAGATATGACAGCAGAAGGCAATCCTAGAATTTAAAGAAGTAGTAAATGTTTTATAACAAAAATATATTTGTTTAAGGCACAAAACCCAAAAAGTAGGTCAACCTAGCAAAAATTGAATTAAATAAAATGAGGAGGCTTATAAAGTCGCCTAAAAAATAATAAACTTGAGGCTTGGGAGCATTTCACAATTTGACAAAGGAAGATCAAGAAATCAAAAGAAATATTACAATATCTGTAAAAGCTTACACACACACACACACACACACACACACACACGCGCGCACACAGTATATATATGTAAAAATGAAAAGGTTAGCAAAATATAAGTTCATCACCAAAATTGGAAAATTGGCTAATGTTAAGGAAACTAAATAATTACACTGCATTTGTCTTCTTGGAGGAAGATACAAGAAATCTCCCGAAAATACCAGAGATCCAAGTAACTTACGAGAATGAGGAACTGATACATATTAGTTAAAATTTGGAGAAATTAATGAGATTGAAAGTTGACAAATCCTTTAGGACCTGAATATCCTGGAGTGTTGAAAGGAGTGAGTGTAAAAATTGTGGGCTCATTGGTTGTTATTTTTTAAAAATTCTATATAATCTAGAATGTTGCCTGCAGAATGGAGGGTTTCAAATGTAACCCAACTATTTAAGAAAGGAAGGAGGGAGAAAAGAGAACTACATACCTGTAAGTTTGGTTCCAATAGTAGGGAATTCTAGTAAAATACTAGAATCTATTATAAAGAATCTGATAACTCAACAATAGAGTGTTTTGTTCAGTTTCAGTTTGTCCAGTACTGCAGAAGTGCTTAAATGAAGATAATGTATAAAGCAGTGCTCCTGACAAAGTGAGAAGTTGGTTAAAATACTTTAGTTCCAGACCAGGAATGTTTGGACAAGAACCTAAAGAGATTATCTGAAGTGAAGAATGTTTGAACTCAGGTGTATGGCAGGTTTTCCAGACTGAGAGTTGACGTCACAGTTAAATTAGACCTATTGAGCTATTCAGAGAAAGGGGTTCCTTTCTGGTGTATGTCCTGTACAATGGGTTCATTTAGGTACTGTACAGGAGTGTTTCAGGATTAATGGGGATTACATTTTACTGTCACTTCAAAAACTCTAAAATCATATTGTCTGTAAAAGATTTATTCACTTTGTTTTCACTTCTTTTGTGAAATAAACTCTGTTTTATTGTTAAAACTAAAGCTGTAACATTGTGAACTTACCTGCAGTAACAGACCACCACAATAAAACCAAAAAAAATACAGGTCTAACTTGTCCAATAATAACACCAGCAGGATTCATAATAAGAATCTGCTCCATAGATGCTGAAAGGAAAGTAACCTTTCCTACCTCAGGTTTCTCATTGTAATTTGCATACAATCAGAAGGGGGCCTCACTGTGTCTGTAGTTCATGCAGTACTGTGTAGGTGGCCGCTTCTTGCGATCTGGGCCATGGGTTGCTGAATTAATCATTATCATCAGAGGTTTGTAATGCTTAAAGGGATTTAGATTGTTCCACAAACAGTCTTTGAAGGGATCAGGCTCACTCAACATCAGGTTATAGTCCAACAGGTTTATTTGAAACTACAAGCTTTCGGCGCCACACTCCTTCTTCAGGCGTTAGTGAGAGAGGTAGTATCAGACACAGAATGTATGTGGAAAAGATCAAACAGTCACAGAACTGATGCAAATATATTGAACAAACCTAAGATGGCTGTTAAATCTTTAATCAGTTAGAAAGGAAATGCAGGTTTTGATTCATTAATATGCAAATCCCAGAATTTCTTTCAAGTCACTGCCCCAAGATAGCTAAAGGTTTTATCAGTATTCCAGAGGTGACATCTCAGGTCTGACAATGCATTTTAAGTGTGAGGCCTAGTTTAGAATTTGCATTTTAACTTGGAATCAGACTGGTTTTATGTCCAAAGTTGGAATTTATAAAATGCCACATTGACTGACTGTCTACAAATTGTGTGCTATTTGAAAAAAAAAAGAATGTATCTACAATTACAAATCTGCAAATGCAAATTCACCCCACAGATTTATATATGTGTGTGTGTGTGTGTGTGTGGGAGAGAGAGTGTGTGTGAGCATGAGTGTAAGTGTGTGCATGTGTGAGTGTGTGCAAATGTGTGTGTGTTTGTGAGTGTGTGTGTGAGTGTGCCTGTGTGTGCTTGAGAGAGTGTGCATGTGAGTGTGACTGTGTGTGTATGTGAGAGAGAGTATGTGTATGAGAGAGGGTCTGTGTGCGTGTATGTGTGTGTGTGTGTGTGTGTGTGCGCGTGTGTGTGTGTGCACATGTGTGTGTGTGCGCGTGTCTGTGTGCATGCATGTGTGTGTGTGTGTGTGCGTGTGTGTGTGTGAGAGAGAGAGAGAGTACATGTATGTGTGCTTCTGCGTGAATGCATGTGAGAGAGTGTATAGTGTGAGTGTGTGTGTATGCATGCATGTGTGTGTAAGTGTGTGTGTAGAGTGTATAGTGTGGTGGGGTCACCTGTAGTGCGACATGAACCCAAACTCCCAGTTGAGGCTGTCCTCATGGATACCAGACTTGGCTTTCAGCCACTGATTGGCGTCTCTGCGTTGTTGTGTATCCCAAAGTCCACCTTGGAGGACGTTTACCTGAAGATCCGAGGCTGAATGTCCTTGACCATTGAAGTGTCTCCACAACTGGGAGGGAACATTCCCATCTGGCAACTGTTGCACGGTATCTGTTCATCCATTGGTTTCGTCAATGTACCGTACCAGACAGGGCATCCTTGCCTGCAGCGTATGAGATAGACAACGTTGGCCGGTCTTTGGGTAAACATCCTCCAAGGTGGACTTTGGGATACACAACAACGCAGTGTTGCTGAGCAAAGACTAATAGCCAAGTTCGATACCCATGAGGATGGCCTCAACCAGGATCTTGGGCTCATGTCGCACTCCAGGTGACCCCATCACACTCTCACACATGCGCACACACACTCTCTCACACAAACACACTCATACAGACTCTCATACACACACTCTATCACATACACACAAGCACATGCACACACACACACACTCTCTCAAGCACACACACACTCACAAACACA